GTAAAAGGTCAAATAACCCTATCACTAGCAATACACCCTATCAAGTTGAACATCTACGCGGTTCTTTCTTTCTATTAGCAATAGGTACTTACAAGCGTTACTAACAATCTCTATTCCTTTCATGATAGTTTTTTTAATTAAATATTAATATTATGGTAACCTACCTGCGCCATCGATATACGCTGACAGGGCTCCACTGAGGAATGAGGTGGAGATGAAAGTAGGTCAGTTGGCCCATCGTGATGACTACATTAAGAATAAACCATGATGCTTTCCAGAATGAGTTGCATGAAGGCCGATCTGACAAGAGTATATAGCTAGCAATGATACCGCTAGTTCTCAGCACTAACAATTCCTTTTCCTCCCCATGACATAGTTAGAACCGCAGGTAATATCTTTAACCTATCAAAAATAATAAATTGGGCGTATGGTCCCGGCATAGAATAGGCCACCCCTTTCTATACCGTGGGTGTCATAAGAACCAACTAAGGGAGGGCGAGGGATAGACAGCAGCGTCCCTCTTAAAACATCTCTAAAGCCTGACTGCGGTTACCAATCCGCCTGCCAAGCGTGACAACTACTGGCAAAACCCCCAATGAGGCTTATGTTCAGCAGTAGACAATTAAAGGCTGATATGTCTTTGGAGATGTTTTAAGAGGAACGGTGCTGCTTATATCTCGCTCTCCTTTAGTCGCCTCTTTTGATACCCAGGAAAAAGGAAGCCTATAAGGGTGGCCTATTCTATGCCGGGAACGCACGGAAATATTGGTCCATGATCCACGTCAAATGCAAATTGTTTTAATCGTAAAATATTATCTTTTACGGCTTCAATATCATATTTTAAAGTTATGACTAATTTGAAAGCATCTAGATACATTCAAATCAATTTGAAGATTATGCATAGACTGCCAGCATAATTTATTTTATTTTATTTAAATGATAATAAATTTCACTTATTCATGTGACTGTTGATCTAATTAAACATAGTGGGGTGATATAGATTAACATCCTAATAATAAAAATTAAAAAAAAACATATATATATATATATATATATATATATATATATATATATATAGATATCATAGGCGAAACAGTACACTCAGTTATGTCCATGGTACTGCTCATGTTTATAGACGGTTACCGCTTTCCATCAGGTGGGCCGTCAGCTTGTTTGCCATTCTAAGTTGCATATAAGAAAAAGAACAGGAAGATGATAATGGCGAAAGTCAAGGTAAATGTATGAGCCTCATCAATATTGTTACTTACAAAGAATTTTATATACATGTTTGTTACGCTATCTGAACTCGACAAAATTATCTGTTGCCGAGTGATAATGTCGTTAATCTGATAATGGCAACGACGCAAAATACCTAATAACGATAAATTGCTACATTACTTTGTATTCGCATAGTTGTAAAAATATTAGATATAATAATTTATTATATAGTGTCGTATGTTTCAGGTATAGAACGGGCAACCTCTTTCTTTCCAGTGGGTGTCGTAAGAGGCGACTAAGGGAACTAAAAAATCTAGAGGTGGGTAGCAGTGTCCCTTTTAAATCACCACCAAACCCTAACTGCGGTCCTCAACCTACATGCCAAGCATAACTACTGGTATAACCCCTCTTTAGGAGGAGTGTATTTTCAGCAGTAGACAGTAATTGGCTGATGTAATGATGATGATTTAGTGTGTATAGATACCGAAGAATAAAAGTAGCAATATGCAGCTTTTATCAAAATTAAGTAAATATTAAATATAGGTAAAACAGGTAAGAAAAATAAACCAATGAAATGGGCCGCTTCTATGTGTCGAATCAAGATAAAATATACACCTGTTAAGTTAGACCTTCAAAAATGCAACTGTGAAAATCGTGTCCAATTTGGTGTGCATGACGCCGGCACAAATATACAGGCAGACTGACAGACAGATAAAATTTCTTATAATAATTATTAATATTCTATATATTCTGCAGAATTTTGTCACAAACTTCATTTATATCTAGTTATAAACGTCCAAACATCATTATTGCAGACATAGGTACTCTCAGTACTCTATTTTTGGATTTTTATTTTTTAATATGAATGCATTTATTATAATTCTAATATGAATGCGATAATGAGTGTGTTTGTTTGTTACCTTATAACGCCTTAAACGTATAACCAACCACTATGAAATTTGGAAATCTTATCTTTGTGAGCAGTTCAATTTCCTAGTTCCCACTGACATTTCGTAGGTCGATGAAGTTCATCATTCTCAAAATCCCTCCTTATACCTCATGCTATAATGGATCATTTACGGTTCATATAGCTAGACTACAGAACTCTCTTCCTTTGCACATTTGCGAAAGTCAATCGCTGTATATTTTCAAAAACAGATTAAAAGAGTATCTTCTGTCCTCGTTCATACACTTATTATGTTTATGTATGTATGTGTACGTATTTTTTATATTATTATTGCACTAAAACATACAGTAACAACAATAAGTTCATAACAATGTTAGCAAAGGCAAACTTATCTCTAAAAGAGATTTCTTCCAGTCAACCTAACGCAGTGGCATAGGAATTGTATATGTATAGATAATATTTTGTATATATAAGTATTATTATACATTGATATGTGTGTTTTCTAATGTAAGTATATAATTTACTTCGTATTTAGGTAAGCATATTTATTATTTCTTAATAGAAACAGCCATATTGTTTCCTCTCCTTACTGTAAGCACACTGATGGCTAGTAATCAATGCTCCTTTCCACTTAAAGTTTGCTGGAAGAGAACTTTTACAGAGTTAAGCTCGTTTGTTGTTTTATTTAAAGTAAATTATAACAATGTAATTTTTGTGTACAATAAAGTATTAAATAAATAAATAATGAAATTTGGTAAACACATATTATGTGGGATGGAAATGAATATAGCCTACTTACTATCTCAGTCAGTAAGCATATCCCAGTCACGAAGTTGCAGGTAAAAGTTAGTTGTAAATAAATGCTTTTAAGATCAACAGTAATCACAAACTTTCACGTTTATATATTTTACTAAGAAAATAGAATTATTGAACTAGTGCATTTTTTTTATACAACTTAGAATGGCAAACAAGCTGACGGCCCACCTGATGTAAAGTGGTAACCGGCGCCTATAGACATGAGCAGTACGTTGGACATAACAGAGTATACTGTTTCGCCCATGATACTCCCCATGCGTTGCCATTCCTGAGGACTCAGGTGTTATTCCTCTGTACTCAGTAAATTCACGCCATATCCCACCCTTCAAACCGAAACACAGCCATGCAAACACACAATGTCGATTTTTTTCCCTCCTATTTGAGGGTGTTGACGCTGTCGCAGAATCAACTTCTTTGCAGATATTAACTCCATCTACTACTATTAGGTTTTATAGAAACTATAGAGCTTTCTGTTAGTAAATAATATATATATATATATAATAACATATACATATATATAATAATAATATATATATATATATATATATATATATATATATATATATATATATATGAATAATATATGGTAAATATCGCGATTTATCTTATTATTTAAAAGAAAATTATTTATATTAGCTCATAATATCTTTAATTAAAGAATACGAGTATATAACAAAAGAATACGCACAGACAGAAAAATAACATTCTACTTAATCATTACTTTTTATATACATACCTAGAGATTATTCGATATTTATAACGAATCGTTAGAATAACTATATGACAACATAATACTTACTTATCATACTTTCCTAATTATTATTGATAAGTATTTGTTATGTATATTGATAAGTTTTAAAAACTTCTATTGATAACGATTTCAATGTTAATAATGAAGTAAACAAGCATTGGTTAAAAAAGCCACAATACCCAAATAAGGAATGGCCAAATGGCCATTCTTTATTTCCAAGAGAAAATTAACCTTAATTTCTATTTTTTGTAAAATTGTTAAATAACAATTTTACAAGAAATAGAGATTAAGGTTAATTTTCTTTTCTACGTATCATATAGATTAAAAATAGATTTTTTTTTTTTATAATCAATTAGGATAAATTATATTAAGAGTATTATAATAAGGATTGCACTCCTCTTTTCCGCGCCCTAATTCCCCTGAAAACTCTTTTCTCCACTCCCGTGGAATATTAGGAAATCTTTTCTTAGTGGATGTCTATGCCATAAAAGCGCATAAAAGGTCTGCTATGGCATATAACTTATATTGATAATGGTAAATGGTCATAGATCAGTTAATCTGTAGTCTACAGAGTAAAAAGATTGTTGCTGACGTAATGGCAGTCACCACATTGCAGACATTTTTTTATATTTCTTTTTATTTTGTGTTTAAGTCTTGGTCAATAATCACTCTTTTTCAGAATTTGTTTAAAATTATTTTTTTTATAAAGTATATAAATATTTAAAATTTTTAGAATAGGTATTACATTATTGAATTTTCTAACCTACATACTATTTCCTAGAGATTTATTATAAGAATAAAATATAGAACACAAAATAAAAAGGAATATAAAAAAGATGTAGAGTGTGTTGGTTGCCAGTACGTCAGCAACAAAGATATCCTATAGACTATTAGACTATGAATATCTTTTTACTTGCCACTGCATCCACCTCAGCAATGAAATTTAGAATATTTTCCATGATTGACCCATACGTATATTTTTTTTTTCTTTGCTAGGGAGTCAAAAATATGTATACAAAATTTCAAAATGATTGGAATGGTCCAAGAGGGCATGTCATATAGTATTCTATATGAGTATTACAAGAAAAATAAAACAACGTTTCTAAATAGTGCAGTTTAGTTTTAATTTTAATTTAGTTCATATGACGAGGTTTTTAACTACAAACCAACATAGGCCAAATAAGAAAAAATTGCATACTGTACCATCTGTTGATAAATAGTAAATAACAATTTCTAAAAATCTGCTAATTGATGTATGGTACTGCCATTTGTCAATAGATGGCATATTTTACTAAAATTACTCTGCAAAGTTGTTAAGTACTTAAGATAGTATTTCGTTTTTATAATTAATTATATACGTGTTCTAATACCGTAAAATAATTTAAGTAACAATTATCATTAACCACCACAATGCATAATTATGAATAATTATTGCGCATGACACTAAAATGAAGGTCAATGCGCATAGTCAAAACATTGCGCATTTCGGGGCCAGCTACTAACCTCCCCAGAGTTGATCGACCAGCGACGGTACTGTCAGTGCAACCCATTTGTTACGTTTCTCACAAATTGTGCTATAATTTAGTGCCTAGTTGGTGTATAAGGCGATTTCGATCGCTATTTGTTTTATTTAGGTGCTATAGAAAATAAAATAACAGGTAAGTCTGCACAACTTACATATTTATTCTTATCACAAATTGTGCCATTGTTTGAAGAAAGATATTAGATTTTTAATTTAATATTATTGTTTGTGCATTCACATAGAAAAAATGTAAATATGTGTTATTGGATTATTGCTTATTTAAAAATTCTACTAATGATATAATAATAATTCGAAAAGTACCAGGTGATGTCATGTCCGGATATCTCTGACGCGTTTTCTTAATTTCTCCACGTACATACTTATTGGATATTAAACTGTGATAATACTTAACCAGGAACTTTATCAAATCGACTTTTACTATAAACGTCATTCATAATATCAATATTTGGAGCAACATAAATTATTAACTGACTTAAATTAACAAATATAAACTGTTGTCCTTTGAACACTTTACAGTTTACCTAATTGAAATTAATAAAAGTAATCTCTCTATGTGTAGGTATCTACCTGTAAAAATAATGATAAAACTATAAAGCCAAATACCAGATATATACAGATATCACTACATTGCTAAATGCAATTCAAACTAAATAGTTAATCCACAGCTTTCTCTGCATGATTCAATTAAAAGTAGCTGACATCCTTATCCAATTCCTATATATATATATATATGGCAAATTTTGTGGCTCACTGGTGTCTCATTATTGTGCATAATTGTAAGTAATATTAAAAAAAAAAACTCACATTTATATGATATAACAATATGATTATATATGAATGTGATAAAGTACTTTAGGACTTTAATTTAATAATTTATTTCATGTGTAGAAAATAAAATGTAATGTGTTATTTGAAAAAGTAATGTGTAAATAAGCATGCTTACTTCTAAGAGTATATTTATTTCAGTATAATTTGCTAGAAAAAATAAAAAAATCCCCGAAGTGCAATAGGCATGAAACCATATTGTTATGAATTAGGATTTCTCAGGTTACACAGCAAAGGTATTCCAGATTATTCCATGGTTTTGTTCTAATGATACTACAGTCTATTACTATTTATATGGAAAGTAAATTGTGGGTAATGGGAACTAGATGCTAGTAAATAACTTGTCATGTTGATCGCCATGAGACCCTAGAAACAATCATGGTTGACTCGATCCACTCCAGAGGCAGAATGTATACTGGAAATGTAAACCCTTTCATCTAAAATCACCTACATTCTAGCAAAATAATTTCATTTCACTCCTGTCATCCCTCTTTGAGGCTTAACCACCATAAATCAATTATTGATGTTATCGTTCAATGTTCAATCGATTAAAATTACAAATTGATTACTATTTATAGCTAGGTATATAGACTTAATGCTGCAGTTAATTAAGTAGTATAATATTTTAATACTAATTACATAAAGAATCTATATAAGCATTTTGTTTTCTTTGTCTACCCCACAAGATAATTGACATGAAGGCAGATAAATTATTTAAAAAAAATTATGTTTATAGTAATTCATAATAAACTTAACATGTTTATAGTAATTCATAACTAGTCTATCTGCCAAAATATTGATAATATTTTTTATAACTTTGTTCTTTTGTTACTATATCCATAATTGCTTATTGTTGATATATATTTTTTTAATGACTAATCAAAGATGGTAGGTGGTCAATGATTCAACATCATTAACTAATGACATCAGAGGACATTTTAAAGGAAACTGAGAGAACGATAAAGCATCAAGTTCACTAAAAATTCCAATAAAGAAATCTATTAATAAATAGCACAGGACTTATTACACAACGCCATCTAGTTCCAAACTAAGTAGAACATGTACTATGAATATTACATACATATTATAGTATAAGCAGACATGCCCATAAGTACCTACCATCATCATCATCATATCAGCTGATATCCACTGTTATAAATAAACCTCGCCTGTAAAAGAGGATTTTGCCAGTAGTTGCCACGCTTAGCAGGCGGGTTGGCAACTGCAGTTGGGTTTGGTGATGTTTTAATGCTGAGATGCTACTGCCAATTCCTCGATCATTAAACTCCCATAGTCGCCTCTTACGACTTTCCCACGGGAAAAAAAGGCGTCGCCCATTCTATGCCGGGACCACAAGGCTATCTATATGTGTCTATAATATGTATAATAATTTAAATTCTATTCCTATAGTACTACAAAATCCCATTTCATGGTGACACATAAAATACCAACAAATTTAATCATCAGAACTTCCGTAACTGATTCTGTCAGGATATTTATATAGTCAATGATTCAGTTATTTTACAATTAAAGCACAAAATATACATTCATATCGCATTAGTAAACCGCTTAGAGCACAAAAATAAATATAGATTATAGACCTAGGTTAGTTTAAACTAAACGAAATTTGCAATCGTATTTTACAAGTGATTTAATTTAGCTTACAGTTGTAATCTACTTTATATAAATACAAAATGTTAAAGAAATATGTAAAAAGTTCGACACGCCTATCTGGTTCATATCAGCCTTTAACTGTCCACTGCTGAACATAAACCTCCCTCTTAGAGTGTTTTGCCAGTAGTTATCACGCTTGGCAGGCGGATTGGCAACCGCAGTTAGGCTTTGGCGATGTTTTAAAAGGGACGCTGCTGGCCATCCCTCACCCCCCCCTTGGTCGCCTCTTACGACACACACGGGAAAGGAGGAGGTGGCCTATTCTATGACGGGACCACACGGAATAATAATTATCTGGTTAGAATTGTCATTTTCTGGAATAAGTATTAAAAATTAAATCCGAGTGCATATGTATATATATGTACGTATACACAAAAACAATTCTCTTTTCTGCCGTGGAGCAGCTGCGCTTGCATGGCTGTGTTTCAGTTTGGAAGGTTGGTAAGTATAGTGAAATTACAATAAGGGGGCATAAAACACTATGTGGTTATTCGTATGTATAGGTGACGGCTACCACTTTCCATCAGGTGAGCCTAATGTGATGCTTGTTTACCATTCAAAAATGCGTGTGCAGTTAGTATTTATATTATAATCACGAAGTTAGGCAACACAAATAGGTATCTCAATATAGAGTGTAGAAGAAATTGTTAGTAATAGGGATTAGCAACCTCATTGCTAGCAATAAACCCTATCAGGACAACCTCCTCGCGGTGCCCCCCAAGAACAATCGTGATTGATTTATTGTTGAATTTGTCACGATCGGCTAACTGAACTGCTTTATCCTCACCTATCATGCCTCACTGGTGCTCCGCCAGTGTACACCGTAGCGCAGGCGGGGTGATCATTATATAATCATCCATAAACAAATACCTCAATATATATAAAAATAGAGCATTTGATTGAACCATAGAGATAGACTACGCAAATATCTCTAATTGTATAAAAATCAAGCGAGCCATTGCCAAGCAGAGATAAATGACGCCAACAATAGCATACTAGAAAAAAAATAAGTATTCCATTGATTTAATATATTATTAGACTAACTTTTTACCCGATATTTCGTACGCATAAATTTCAGAAGTAGGAAAACCAATGACTATTTCATTAGTTTTTAAATGACGTATCAAGATAAAACATATACCAGTTTTTAAGTTAGATTTTTAGGAATACAATTTTTGCGTGACTTGAAACAAACATACAGACATAAAGTTTCTAAATATTATTTTGGCATCTAATGCTCTTTTTTTTATATTTTCTTAAATATCTTCTATGTACATAGTCTAACTACAATATTATTATATTAGATAAAATAAATACTTTATTTCTCACTCTACTTATAATATTCAAAGCGACTGAATCAACGTCTTAAATCATCGTGGGAAACAACAGTAGGATGTTACAAAACCACAATACTTAATAATAATGATATTACAAGCAAAGCTATTTATGTAAATCTTTGATCAAAATATTCGTCAGATTCATAATTGTTGACATCCGTAGAATAACAAAGCTTGTGTTGTTTCTTGTGGTGATTTGAAGTAGGAAGGGACCTATCTAAATTGAATATCTTCAGAATACCTTGTCTAGTACCTACTTGCTTTTCTTGTTGTTCTTGTTTATTTTGCAATCTCTAGAATAAATGTCATTTACAATCTGAACAACAAGTACAATTTATACATATAAATCATAAGAATTTGCCTGTTACGTCTATTATTATTTCATATCCCATTCTCTTAACTATGCTTGAGAGTGTTGGAAGAACGACGAAAAAACAATGCTGTCCGATTGTTGCCCATTTATGAATGTTTTCAATTTTGAAATATCTAACAAATTTATAACAAACTGAACAAAATACAAATACAATTTATATACATGTAAAAATCATAAGAATTTGCCTGTTACGTCTACTATAATGTGATATACAATTTTCTTAGCTGTGCTTGAGAGCGTTGAAAGAACGACGCAAAAGCAATGCTGTTCGATTTTTGCCTATTTTTTATGAATGTTTACTTCGTCACTTGTTTACAAACTCGTCCGAACTCTCCTACAAAAAATATACATAACTACTTAATTTTTACATCAAATGAAATATACATGATGAATGATGAATATGGAAGATGATGAATGATGAATGATTGATGAATGTGGAAGAAGCGAAAGAGGTTTGTTTGAATCGAAGCATTTGGCGTTCCATTGTTTCTGCCTACCCTAATGAGAGACAGGCGTGACAGATATGTATGTATGTCTGTATGAAATACACTTATTTATTATATCAATATTTCTCTCATAAATAGTAAGATACTTAGATAAATTAATATTTTTAAATATGTAAAAAGCTAGCTAAAAATCACATCAAGTTTCTGAAAGATATTTTGTATCATCAAAAAAGATACTTCTTTGTCGTCGGCGATACTTTGACACGTAACATTAAACAACTTTATAAAGTGTTTATTATCTAAAACAATAGGAAAGTATGTTAACTTGTTTCAATTCCAAACGGTACAAAAAAAAAACATGACAAAACTGAGGAAACTGGACGTTTAGGTATATCCTGTTAACAAGTCACTCAGTTTATCGACATTTTCCGGCCTACCCCAATTCTGAGTTACTACAAAA